GTAAATAATAATAAAATTTATATTAATAAAAGATAAAATTATATAATTTATTTAACAATATATAATATTTCAGACGGAACCTTTTTTTGTGATTATTTTTCTTTTAATTACATTTCAAATGACCCATTACAAATATCCTAACACATTTTTTAAGGTAACATAATGATTATCATTAAATTAATAGATACGAAAACGCGTGCCTAACCTGTTGGCTATTGTTTTGTAGCCTATTGACTGATGGAAGTGGACTGTTGCTCTTGCTCTTGGCTCCGCCCCTCAAATGCATTCGCTGTTTTTAATAGGTAAGCGTCCTGTAACTTGCGTATATTTGCATAATTCATGAGACGTGGTTCTATGGCCCCGCCTCCGCCATAGTTGTCAACAGTCAGTTCAAGATGGCTGCGCTGCCGATGGTGAGGGTTGCGCTGCTCATCGCGTTTTCGGTGTTTCTGACGCTCACCCTGGGCTTCGGCTTGCCGTCTGTGCTCAACCTCTTCGCGCGATGCTGCGGCTTCCCGGAGGCGAGCGTCACCGAGAGCATAGTGCTGCTGTACGCGCTGTTCGTGCTGTACGTGGCCATGCCGCGTCTGCCCCGCGGGACAGTGAAGGTAACGGTACAGTGAGCAACTTACACATCAACAAAAACTAACGGCATTTCATGTGGCGTATAACGTTACGATATTATATGAGATTTTATTGTCGGGCTGAAAATCTGTTTTTCACTCTCATAAACATTGCACATTATATCTTACTCTCAAACACTATGTTACAATCCTACAGCACCTTAAGTTAGTGTACTTTTGATTTTTGATTAAGTGTCTTATTCAATTACATCATGCACAAAAAAAAAAAGTGTATTTTTGTCCATTTTATTGAATTCTGTAAACTTGTACCTCCAGTTTGGTTGTAATGCAAGTTCATTGTGCAGGACATAACGTTATGTATTATTACCATGCAATAAGTGGTACATTATGCAATGTGTGTATGTATGAGTGGGTGCCTGCAATGAAATATATTAATAATTAACTATCTTTGCCTTATATAAGGCAAAGATAGTTAATTATTAATATATTTCATTGCAGGCACCCACTCATACATACACACATTGCATAATGTACCACTTATTGCATGGTAATAATACATAACGTTATGTCCTGCACAATGAACTTGCATTACAACCAAACTGGAGGTACAAGTTTACAGAATTCAATAAAATGGACAAAAATACACTTTTTTTTTTTGTGCATGATGTAATTGAATAAGACACTTAATCAAAAATCAAAAGTACACTAACTTAAGGTGCTGTAGGATTGTAACATAGTGTTTGAGAGTAAGATATAATGTGCAATGTTTATGAGAGTGAAAAACAGATTTTCAGCCCGACAATAAAATCTCATATAATATCGTAACGTTATACGCCACATGAAATGCCGTTAGTTTTTGTTGATGTGTAAGTTGCTCACTGTACCGTTACCTTCACTGTCCCGCGGGGCAGACGCGGCATGGCCACGTACAGCACGAACAGCGCGTACAGCAGCACTATGCTCTCGGTGACGCTCGCCTCCGGGAAGCCGCAGCATCGCGCGAAGAGGTTGAGCACAGACGGCAAGCCGAAGCCCAGGGTGAGCGTCAGAAACACCGAAAACGCGATGAGCAGCGCAACCCTCACCATCGGCAGCGCAGCCATCTTGAACTGACTGTTGACAACTATGGCGGAGGCGGGGCCATAGAACCACGTCTCATGAATTATGCAAATATACGCAAGTTACAGGACGCTTACCTATTAAAAACAGCGAATGCATTTGAGGGGCGGAGCCAAGAGCAAGAGCAACAGTCCACTTCCATCAGTCAATAGGCTACAAAACAATAGCCAACAGGTTAGGCACGCGTTTTCGTATCTATTAATTTAATGATAATCATTATGTTACCTTAAAAAATGTGTTAGGATATTTGTAATGGGTCATTTGAAATGTAATTAAAAGAAAAATAATCACAAAAAAAGGTTCCGTCTGAAATATTATATATTGTTAAATAAATTATATAATTTTATCTTTTATTAATATAAATTTTATTATTATTTACTTGTATATTTTTGTCAATATATGTTTTTATTAATATAAATTTAAAATATAAATAAATATAATATATAAATATCTATTATATAATATTTATAAATAAATAATATAAATTTATTTTAAATATTAATTATAGAATATAATATTAAAATATAATAACGTATTAAATATATTAATTGTTGTTTAATGTGGCCATTAACCAATGTCAGAGAACATATGAATGTGTTAAATTATTGAAAAATTAACTTAAAATCTCAGGTGTACTTCAAATAAAAGTTTTGGGTTCAGATAACAAAAACGTTTAGGAATCCATGGGTTAATATATTGAATAATGTCTCAGTAAGTGAACAAAAAATAGTTTTGGCTCGAAGTTAAATTAGCCAATCAGAAAAAATGTGTCTAAAAATATTTTTTAAAAATGTATTACTTTTTTAAGGAACTACAACACGATTTCTTATTGTTTTATTAATTATTTAGAATTATTTATGGCTGGTATTTTTCAAGGTAATTGTCAAGTTCAATTATTTTTAACTCCTTCTCACTGATCATGATTATTTTATAACTTTATTAGAAACTGTTGTGCAATCACAGGAATTATAGTTTGACCTTTTGACCTTGTTTTATCTGGTAGTTTTCTAACCATCGTGCTCTGGTTAATTTAGTCTCTTTTGAGGTTAATGATGGTTATTAATGATGAGGTCAGATCCAGTCTCTCGCTCCTCCTCCGGCTGAATGCCACCCATGTTGAGCCGGCGTCAGACACTCTCTCTCTCTCTCTCTCTGAGTTTCTCTGTGTCTCTCGGCCGCTTTCTCTCTCACAGCTGCTTATTACTGGTCAGAGAGCAGAAACTCTCCGCATGACTGACCAAACCAGACTCAGGTTTCCTCCGAGAGACAGAACTGAATTTTAGAATAACAGCTTTATTCAGTCGTGTCAACCAAAAAAACTGTCAGATCTTAATGGAATAGTTCTTACAAAAGTGTCAAGCAATGTTTACAAAAGTTGCCTACAGCATACTAAAGTTTTACGAGGGAGAAACCTTCTAAACGACAATACACAAAACATCCTTAAAACAACATAAATTCACTTGAGCAACAACTGTTTTTAGATCATTTTCGTCTTGAATATACAAATGAAAACAAATGAAACAGATCTCATTTTAAAGGCAAATTCTGTGACTGAATAATACATATATTTCAAATAAATAATCGAATAAGTCTAAATATTAATATTTATCTCTTAATAGCAACAATTGTGCTTATCAGATCGTCTTCTTTTAGGAATGTTTAGGAAAACAAGGCAAAGATGCTCATTGAATATGATCTTTTCCAGAGAGAGAGAGAACGGAGTTTGCACAAGAGAGAACAACAGATCTACAGCAGAGGGAACAGAGAGAGAGAGAGAGACAGAAAACAAGGAGAAAGAGGAAAGAGAAGGGCTGATGGGGAGAGAAAGGCAGAGTTTTGGGGAGAGAGAGAGCAAGCGAGCTGTGCTGGATTAGTGTGAGGAGATTAAAGCGCTGGAACACACACACTCACACACACACTCACACTCACACTCACACACACACACACACACACACACACACCCTCACTCACTCACTCACTCACTCACTCACACACACACACACACAC